AGTGCTATGCAATCATGTAATTAAAAAGACTTGTACACACAGTGGGGGCAGAAGTAAGATTAGGCATGTCTCTAATTTCACTGATAGCATGGCGAAGTGAACTTGAGTTCATGAAAGCTTGTGGTCCACCTATCTCACGTAGTCGGTATCTATATATCGATATCTAGATACAGATATCCGTCTATCCATATCCATATCTCTTATGTAGTTAGTCTATAAGGCTCAAATCTGCCCTGCCTTCTTTCGAATACCTTAGCAATGTCTGCAAATAACTGCTTTTGTCCAAATCGTAGAAAACGAGGGTTGAAGGGAGCTCAGGAGGTCCCATCTAGTGCAACCCCCTGCTCCAAGCAGGACCAGCCCCAGCTACATCATCCCAGCCAAGATTTTGTCTACCTGGGTCTTCAAAACCTCCATGGATGGAGACTGCATCACCTCTCTGGGTAGCCTTTTCCAATGTTTTACTACCCTCCTCATATCCAAGCTAAACTTCCCTTGCTGCAATTTGAACCCATTGCCCCTTGAAATTTCTCTTATCAATTTGTACGAGAGCAGTCAAGACCCTGAGTGTATTAGCAAGGGATGGAGCTATGCAGATGATTAGCACACTTGCTGTACATTCAATTAATATATCGGAAAGTAGTCTTGCACATAGCAGTAGTCTACAGTCCTATCGGAAACCTAGGCTCCATGTTCACCCAGTTTTATAACGCATTGCAAGGACCAAACCCAGCCTACTGGAGGGGAAGAGAATAAAGCATTAGTGCTGCCAGCATTTGCAATACTCTGAAAACCCCATAACACTGGGTAGTTTCCTTGACTCCTGCAGCTTGGGGCATTAAAGGGATTGCATTTACATTTCAGCTCTTTTTAGGGGGAGTGAAGAGAGAGATAACCCCCCCCATCACAAACCATCTTGTGACTCGATGAGTCATTTGTGAGAGCCTGAGCTTCCGCAACGCTGTTAACTTGAGTTCACCTCCGCTCGTTGCTTTAATTTTTGATTTTCCGACTGGTTCTGCTAGTGACAGGCAATTGCCAAATCCTGCATGGGGAAGGTCTGGGCGCTTTGTCGGAGTGGGTGGGACAGCAGTGCACGGTTCTTCTTTGTGCAGAAATTAAGTCTTAGGCACAGTCCTACTGAAACGTCGCCTTTTCTTGAAAAGTGGGAGGCGACGCAGCTACCTGGGAATTCGCCGAGCTCACGTATCCCACAATAAATGACACATCATTTGCAGCTGATTACAGCTTCACCTTAATTGGAAGGGCTCTCGCACATACTTAATGATACACCCTCGTCTTCCCATGACACAGTCAACCGTGACACCGCGTGCTCCTTGAGTTTCCTTTTTCTAGACGTTTTGCTTTCCCATGAGTGCCAACTTGCTCTCCATAGCAGAGAATTACTTCCCCTCCTCAGGAAAACCCGATGAGATTTTTTTTTGCCCCCCTCCTCCCTTAAAATCTTTATAGTTAGGTTACTCATTTAACTCGTGTTCTCAAGCAATTAAAACAAATGCAACAAGAGTCACACAAGTCCTCTACAATCTGCTCTCAATTTGTCACCCTTCATTATCCCGATGCTGTATACAAGAGAGCCGCTCATTTGATTAGACAGCACGTTTTCCTGGAATTACTGAAGGAAATGAAAGACTTCAGAAAGGGGAAGAAAAAAATTAGCAAGATGAACCAAGCGGGAGCTGCTTTTCTAGAGACACGGAGCGCTGTTTTCATCTCGCGGTGAGATTTCAAGTCGACCTTCGTGCAAGAACCACACCTGGGTCGATCCTCTTAGTAACAGACTGGGGGGGAAGGCAACTTCATTTCTGCTGTAGCAGCGGCTGGAAATGGATTCCTATCCCGCTAGCAGGGAAAGGTCCACAGCTGGCTCGGACACGCATTTGCCAGATGCAGCTAGCAGCCTTGAGGAAGCTGCTTACAGAAAACACCTAAAACGCACAAAGGCATGCACATCCCAGGGAAAAACCAACCGCAGTTGCAGCTGAAATGGGAAAGCATCACTCTGCAGGTGGCAGGTAGATGGACTCAGTGACCCGTCAGCCCTCTGACACCTTGCCTTTCTACACCTCACCCTCCCAAGCAGCTTCTCCCCCTCCTGGAAGGAGAGTCATAAAATAGCTGTCAAACCCACACCCGTCGCTCCTGGGAGCTAATCTGGAGTGACTCAAGACCCGATGAGAACGGCTCCTTGATGCCCTGGCGTCAGTCGACATCCCCGTTCCCAGCAGGACAAGGCGGCTCATCTGCTCCCAAACTGGGGGTGAACAGGACACAGTGACCTGGCTCCCTTTCCCAAGGCTGCTGCCCTGGGGAGCCACAAGAGAAAGCCAGAAACAGGGCTTGAGAGACTTAAGAGTCTTAATAAGGGTGGGGCCATACAGTAATTAAACTTTTTTAATAGGTCATTGTAAGCGCAAGAGACTCTTCCAGTCGGGTAAGTTCCCAAGCTGTCATTAAAGAGAAAGGAGATGACAGGCATTAATCACAGCACAAGAAGTCACATCAAGCAAAGGGGGAAGGGCGAGTGATTTAACAAGGAGTCCAAAAGACCTTGCATTACAGAAATATGGAGCAACCACCTGCTCTTGCATCAACCACTTGGGTACATTTCCCTATTTCCAAGGGCAGCGAAGGAAGCCTCCGGTCCTCCCTTACCCGCCCCCGGAGTAAAGCAGCCATGCGTACGCATTACCTATTCAAACACTCATGTGAAACGAGTTGGTGGATTAACAAGCAACAGGGCAGAGCTCTGGAGACGGAAAGGGATGCCCAAGTGGTGCAGCCACAGTAAAAATAAAAATAAAATAAAACCCAAAACACCCCACAAGTGGCACTAACTCCATGGGTAGGTCTCTGCAGAAAGGCCGTGGGGGTTTGTCTACACTGCACCCGGCTTGCAGGGGTAGAGGAAGCAGATAAGCCAAAGCAGCAGAGCCCTGCCCAGCCTGGGTGGAGTCCGAAGCGACCACAGCTAGATGGCTTCTGGCTCCCAATCTGGTTTACATCTCCAGGCAGCATTGTGCAATGCAGACATACCCGGAGTTACCTCTTTGTCTCTAACACAGTCCACTCCGGGGCACAATTGCAACACTGGAGGGGCAGCGTGGGAGCAGCTAGTTCCCCATCTCCCAGAGTCCCAGCGCTCTGCGGAGAAAGGGTGTCACTCTGTGTGGCTGCTAACTGCAGCTCTCTTTCCTCCACCGTGCAATTCGGTCCTTCCAGGTGCTGCATCTACACCTGTATCAGCTTCTGGCAACAGAGGCAGAGGCCCAGCTCTATCATGAGATTGGACCCCGAAACAAAAAGCAAAACAAAAAATCCTAACTTCATGTGTGCAAGTCCCTCCACTGATACCAGCAGGCCTACTCAGATGCTCAGCTGGAATACATTTCGATTGTTACTACTGCACGGGAACATTTAACTGGACTCAAAAGATGGTTCCTGCTGGGATTAAAAAAAAAAAAATACATGGAAATACATGGAAAGCTGCAAGCTTTTTTTTTTTTTTTAAGCTTATTTTTCATAACAGAAAACCCACAATTACCCAGTTAGCTTGAGTCTTAGAGGAGGTAAAATATGCTTGAGGTCTTTAACCCTTGTCTAAAAAAAAAAAAAACCCAACTACCCTCACAACCATGTTTGGAGTAAAAGAGAACAGGGCAGGAAAGGACCGTGGATGTCTCCATTGACACAAGAGCTCAGCTTGGAGCAGTGAATACATTTAAAGGATGTGGTTCCTTTCCACAGAGACCATATAGATTCAAAAAATAATTATAAATTTGATTCAGATAAAGATTATCCTGCTTCAGGCAGGGGGGTGGATTGCGAGGTCCCTTCCAGGCTACTTCTCCATGATAACCTGTTGGGCACCAAGAAAATGCAGCGCTCCTCTCCAAGTGGCACCGTGGCCTCTCTCACATAAAAGGTAACACAGTAAAAACTCAAAATTATCGTTATTTGAGGCCACAAACCCCCACAAGGATCTGGCCAACCCCAACACCTCTGACACCCCAGCTCAGGACCCTCCCCAGTTTATGAAAGAGAGAGTCTCATATGATCACAACCGCAAGACCGAGAGCTTGAACAACAAAACGTGCCAGAAGCCATGAAAGGTGTTGGCAAGGCTGGAGAGCTACCCCTGCTCACAAGAAGGATGCAAAACAAGGAGGAAAGAAAAAGCACAGGCACTGAGTGGGGACGGACGGCTCTACCCCGAGCGTTTGCAAGTCACCGCTCTTTCAATGCCACGCTCGACGCGCCAGATGTGACCAAACCCTGCTGGGGTTCGATGGAGCCGAGCTGGGAGGATGAACTCGTTCTTCCTTCCGGGCAAACTTTGCTGCAGTCTGCCGAATTGGTCTTGCTCCTACATGAGAGCTGGCAATCCACCTACACCCTCTTACTCTCGACCATCATACTGGAGATCAGGTCAGACTGGTGCAGATGGGACAGGGGGGTTGCCTTGCTTTAAGACCCCTTAAATGCATATTAACCAACCTTTACAGAAGCAGGATGTTGTCTGCTGTGGTTCCCCTGCTTCACCTGTAGCAGGTTCAGGTTTGATGTCTTGCATTAGGGTTGATGGTTGTTTTACAAAGGTGGTAGGCACTGGATTTGTCTGGGATGGTTTGCACAGGGCTGATGTCTTGTGTCGGGGTTGATGGTAGTTTTACAAAGAGGTTAAAGGTCTGGGATGGTTTGCACGGGGCTGATCCTGCCTCAGGCAGGGGGTTGGACCTCTGGAGGTCTCTTCCAGCCCCACATCTCTATGATTATAACCCAGGGGACATATTTTGGGAAAAACCATTTTATACACTTAAGGTGTGTTGTTGTTTTTTAAACCACTACCAAGAAGTGACCCAGATAAATTCCTCCTCCGTGATGCGTTGCATTGCCCACGGGTCCCTGCAATCTCCTAGCAGCCCGACAACCTGCTTCCTAATTCTCCCACCAAAACGGACCCCCTGCAGCCGCCTTACCGTCCACGTGGCCGACTTGGCTGTGCTGGACTGCTGAAAAGATACGTCGAAGCTGTGAGGTCCCGGGTAGTCTGTGTTGGAGGGGATGGCCGGGGAAGGCGAGAGCGCGTCGAAGGTGGAGCTGGGCTGGGCGTACGGCGAGGGCGCCGTGACGCTGTTCTGAGCGTGCTCCGTGTTGTAGGGGCTGGTGGAGGAAGAGCCATTTTGGATCTGCTGGTCCATGCTGTTCAGGAGCCCCAGGTTCGTGTACTGCGGCTGCGGAGGGAAGCAAAGCGTTTGCATTAGCACATGCTTGGAAGTGCTCATCAGGCTCATGCAGGCACTAGCTCGGCGTTCCCACCAGCCCTCTCCGAGAACAACCTTACCAATGTTTGCTAGCAGGTGAAACCCCTCTCCCCTTTGCAGCATTCAACCCATTTTACAGATGAGCACAATCAGGGGGGAGAGCCAAAGTCATGACGCACCACGGGTCAGCTCTGAACCAACAACCCCATGCCGCAGGTTGGATTCACATCACCAGTAACCCTGTACACAGACCCCTCAACCCTTCACTTCCTAATGAAGGGAGGCAGTCTACCCCCCGCACAGATCCTCAGCTAATTCAGCAAGGAACGACGCCATCCCCCATTAGGACTCTGCAACACGTGAGCAAATGGTCATGACACGATACATCACATTATCCCCCATCTCATCTATCCCATGGACCCCGGCAGAAAGGCATCAGGGCTCTTGTCACATCACAGGTCAATGCGGAAAGCTTCCCTCCCCATGTGCGGCCTCGGGTGCATCCCACAGCACATTGCAAGTGCACCAGGCGGGCCCCACTGCCCAGAGCCTGCCCCGAGGAGCACACGAAGGCAGCCCGTGTCAAGTGGGGGGTGGTGAGGAGGAAGTGCCGGCGAGGGACGGCAGGCTCGTGGCAGGGCGCGGTTACACCGCGCACTTATCTTTATGAGCCCATCTCGTTTGCATCTGTAATGAAAGACAGGAAGCTGCTGCTGGCTCTGGGTCCAGGAAAAAAAAAAAAAAGAAAGAAAATCCAAGGGCACCTCTGGACACAGCCAAGGCGGGCATGCAGGGCAGCGGTACCCATGGAGGAGAGACCAGGCACAGGCGCTTCCTCATTTCCTTCGAGCACCCGTGTTTCAACGGCCCAGAGAGTGGGAGCAGGGTGCATCTCACCCCCACCCATCCCCTGCCTTGCATACGGGCTATGAGACTCCCCACCTCCTTCCCTTTTAGGAAGCTCCCTTATTCTGCACAGTTTGCCAAAGCTATGCTGTGCACAAGAAGGGCAGCTCCTGAAACCGAAGCACCGGCTGGTACCAGGTAGCAAGGTGCACAATTAAACCGATCAGTAAATCCTATAAGGCATTGCATAAGTGTTCAAGACCCCAACCCAGCACGCTGCAGGCTGTGCATCGCACCTGCCCCGGATGCTTTGGGGAGCAGGGTCTTCTCAAGCTCCTGGCTGCATTGCTTAGGATGGTGTTCCCAGGAAAGAAGAAGAACCGCAGTCCGCCTGCCAGGCTAACAAGCCCGCCGCTCGTTAGCTTTTGGGTTCATTTCAAAGACTCTCTTGCTAGGCTGTGTTGAGTACACAGTACCCGAGTCAGCACAGCACAGTGGACAAGACACAGGGTTATAACAAAGCTCTTTCGAGTCCTACGCCCTGGCTTTGCCAGCGATCTGCTGAATATCCCTGGGCAAGTCACTTTGCCCTTCTGCACTGCTGCTTCCACATGCAGGCTGTTCGTGGCAAAAACTGCCACCACTCTTCTTGATTATCTTATTACTTTGGGCTGCAACTCAAGGATGCCTTGCCTTCTAGTTCTGGATGAACCAAGGATGCCTTTCTTGCCCTGGGCTGCTCCATTTTTTCCCTCCCTGCCTCAGTTTCCCCTCAAACTAAATGGATTTCAGCAAGCGCTGGACCCCTAATCCGCTGCAGGCTCCTGTGAAAATCACAGCTCTTCTTATATAATATAATAATAATTTAAGTTTGGAGCGGAGTTGGTCTAATACAAGGGATCATCTCTGAACCAAGAGGTCTGGATTTTTTGCATTGCCTTTAGTCTCGGGCCAAACATGGCTAGCGAACACGTCCCCAAAGCTCTTCTCATCAGCATTTAGGGACGTGTTCTTCCTAAAGGATGCGCCCCTCTCCTAGAGAGCAGCAGGAAAGGCTGCAAGGATGCAGAAAGGAGCAGCCCAGCAGATAGGAATGAGAAGACGAGGAGCGCTGGCTTCGCCTACAGCGCTGCTCAGAATAACGTCAGGCTGCTGAACCGGTTTTTGGGGGTGAGGCACCCGAAGGGAGACAGCGACTCCCCAGAGCCAACGGGAAACCCTGCCAGACCGTTCGTTGCAGCAGAAATCTCCGTCCTCCTGCAAGGCAAGAGCTCCTTAAGAGAAACGGCCGAATCCCTGTCATTCCCCTTGGTCCAGGGGACATCTGTCTAAATGTTAGGGGCAGAACACCCATTCCAGTGCATTTATATAGTCGCATTCCTGAGCCGAATGCCATGTCCCCGTTTGCTCTTTAAATAACTATTAATCTCCTTGCACTTATCCTTGCGCTGACACACGCAGCTGTTCGGCACCCCTGCTTTCCCCCTCCACCTCCTGCAAGCCGCCCACCCCTTCTCACCCTTCCTGCCCCCTCGGACAGGTGCTCTAGAGGCCAGGAGACATGGAAAGAAAAGGCGGCTCCCGGCACACACCCGGCTGCACTAAACCTCTCAGGTATCCCCCTTGGAAGCCAGGCCTCGGGGGGCAAAGCTGTTTGAGTGCAGGGGTCAGTATCCTAGAGGCTCCCGAGGCCTTTGGTAAAAATCAGATAAGTCTTTCAGAGGCACATGCCTCCTGACAACAGGACAATTAAAGCAGCAGCCGGCCGGTCCGAAGGAGCACGCTGGAATTCAGCTCAGCATCAGCTCGGCTGGTCATAAAATGCCTCCCCGGACAGGAAGGAGCTGGGGAGACATCATGCACTTAAAAGAACAAAGAGATGGAAGACTTTTTGTGCAAGCCTGCAATCCACCCCTTGCAAAAAAAAAGAGGGGGAATGGTGCATGGGATACCTTAAGAGCCAGCTTTTCCGTGGCTGTGACAGTAGCCCTTCTACACACCACAGCCTAAGACCCCTGCCTCGAGGAGTCCCGAAGCAACATTTTTTTGCGTGCGTCTTCCCCTTTCCAAGTGTTAGCAAAACTAGCAGCTCATTGCAACACTGACTGATGGGCCTATTCCTCTTATCAGCATGCACACACACAAAAAAAATGCTAGTTAAAAAGAAGGAAAGAGGCTATTTGGTCAAGCCTGTTACATCAGGCTGCAGTGTCTTGGTGGTTTTGAATTCCTGGCTTTCTATTCAAACACCTCCAGAACATGGTATCCGACCTAAAAGTCCAGCAAAAAGAGTATTTTTGGCTACCTATGCTGTTTATTGGCGCACATCCTTCGAGTAAAATACTCCACACTTGCTTTTTGGCATTACTTCCAGGTTCTTACGTCCAATGCTGTTGCTTCGGTTAGCAACAATGTACGATAAAAATAAAAGGAAGATATTACATTTTAAGTGTTTTTAAATGTATGGCATTGCATCGCTTAGTTTTGCCCACGTCTCCAATCGCAGCTGCACCCAACGTCCTCCTGCGCTGCAAAGCAATCCCCATCCTAAACAGTCCTGGAAAAGGTATTGCCACCAGAGGGCAAGCCAAAGCACCAGCTGCTCCCATTATTTTTGCACATGAACTGGCTCCAATGTGTCCGCTCCTGCAGAAGTGCTGCAGAAAGGTAAATTGATACCTGGAGTTAACGACAGGACTGGCCGAGAGAAATGCTTGCTTCTCAGTTTGGTCTCGGTACCCATCGGAAAACCTATTTCCACTGCAACCAGCATTTCTGGGAGGAAAGAGTGCATTGCAACGCGTTTTATTTTAACTAAGTACTCAGTCCTAAATCAGGGCAAGGCAATCAAGGCTAGTGACCCCAGGACTAGGAGGAAGCAGGCTTCAGCTCTGAACAGCGTCTGCTCTGGACCCTCATCCAAGCTGCAATAAAAACGCTTGGACTCTCATTAGCTATCCCCAATGTGCTAGCTCCAAGCAGGATTTCAGTGTGGCTATTTTCAAGTGCCCCAGATGTAAGGTTGTGGGTGGTTGGGACAATGTACCGACGTATTGAAAATGTTCTTCTGTCACCATGATTAATAAAGACACCAGTTGACTGCCGGTCAGCCAACTGCGACTGACGGCAGGTCAACCCAGCACCGCAGAGCAGCTGATCTCAACCTTTTTAAACTCAAGGCAGCCCATGATAGATAAGAGGACCCCCCTCAGAGGATCAGCTCTTACATTTTCACGTGTTTTTGACTGCAGAGAAATACTAGAGCAGCTCTCCCATGGCAAAGAATTGAGGCAGACCATGAACAGAGCTGCGTATTTTTGACACGAGGGATGCCTACTTGAAATCTCTGGGCTTGTCATGTGCATCACGTTTGCACACCGGCAAACTTGGCAAAAATTAGGGCAGCCCAGACTGCCATAGAGAATATATTTGCTATTGGAGGGGTTTACTACGAAAGGCATTAGGATGCAAAAGGCTCCCACCCACAGCCCTGCCGAGGAAGATGTCGAGAGGATAACCATGATGTTGAGATGGAAGAGCCCAATACCATGTGCTTGGGGTCACTGGTCTCCTCTCTCACCAGCATCTTCATACCAAGCAACACAGAAGGATTTCACCCTCAGCCAGACCTCCTTCTGCATCAGTGGCTGGCACCCAGGGAGCAATGAGGACCCAGAATAGGCACCGCCAGAATAGGTGTAGGAGACAAACCCAAACCTGGTGTTTAGGACATTAGCCTGGTTTCAAATCCCCGCGCAGCCATGGGCTTCCCAGATAGAAATGGGGAACTGAGTGATTTCCCCAAGGAGGAACTGGCAGGGGAAGATACCCTCCCTTCCCCCTTTTCCTCTCCCGCTGCTGGGAACAAAGCTAGAGCAAAGCCTGAGTCAACTCAGTTATGATAATGAGCAGATAAGAGGGTGAGTAAGGCTACTGGAGTAAAGACAGCTCATGATGGCTCAGTAAACACAGGGCTCTCCAAAAGCCTGAACGTGGCCATGGTGTGAAACACGAGTGCAGGAGACCTGGGTTCAAACCCTGCGGGCTTCCAGCGAGATGGGGTTCATAGGACCCGAAGGGACCGTGGGCTCATTAAGTTCAGCGTCCTAGTATTGCAGGCAACC